GCTCCGTCCTCTCGCTCCTCTTGCTCCCACTGCCATTCCCTCCCTCCTCGTGCTCCTCCTAGCTTGTCCTTGTCCCCCTGCGCTTCCCCCCTGCCGCTTGCTTCGCCCCCCATCTGTTCCCCGCTGACCCTCTTGCGGTACCGTCGCCCCTCCCCACCTCCCCTCGGACCTCGGAGGGGTGAAAGGGGCTGAGAAGGAAGGACTGCGGAGCGAGGAGGAGGAGAGCAAATGATGACTGCGACGAGGAAGCGGCGCAGGGCGATGGGGGGCACATGCGGCTCCGGCCTCCTCCCTGAGGGTTGCCAAGAGGGCCCTGTGGTGCGGAGGGGGTGGTACCGTACGTCGACGAAATGTTGCACCACTTTTGCCGCGCATTGTCAGCTGTATTGGATTGCTCCTCCCCCCCCCCTCCCCCTGATCTTAATATTGGGCACATGGCAAAGGTCCCTTGGCGCCCCCCCAGGGCTCGCGACAGAATGTTGCACCACCGAGCCGTTTCGATGAACCCGGGACCGCAGCCAATGTTAAGATTGGGGGGAGGGCGGGGTGGAAGCGAACATCCATTGCAAAATCGGCTTGTTTTCTTGACATCACCAGGTGGTGCAACATTTTGTCGATGTACCGTACCACCCCCTCCGCTTTCGTGGCCCTCCCTTCGAGGCCGAGGAGGGGCTGCAAGGAGCAGGTTGGGCCAAGCCTTCTCTCTGCTGCCGCACAGCCAAGACACGCTCGCAGGCATGAGCGCTGCGAGGAGCCATCGCGCCTGTCGGTTCCAGCCGCCCTCTGCAGTATTGCCTGCGTTCGCCCTCGCGGGCGAGGCTTCGCTCCCGCCCTCCCCCAGTAAGACCAGTCTTGACTGTAGCTCCATGCTGCTCTGAGGCCACAGGGAACGGACGAAAGGGAGGGGCTGGGTCATGCCCCATCCGCCCTGCAGTCCAGCACCATCGTCGGGACGCGAACGGTTCATCAGGTCTGCCGCCCGGCATCATCGTCTCTTCTCGGCCCTTCCCCTCGTCAGCATCAGGCTTCAATCTGGTGTTGCTAGAGGTGCCCCTGGCCCAAGGTGCCACCCGGATTTTCAAGGAGGCCACTACGGCCTCCAGAGCACCCCTCACGAGGTCCAGAGGGCCCCAGGAGCTCCAGAATTGAGCGAAAAGCTGGGGGCACCTTGAGCCAGGGGCACCTTTAGCAACCCCCGATTCAACTGGCTCGGCACAGAAGCCCCAGGGTATTACGCCGTTGCCTCTGTGTCTGACCCTGGGCCCTCGTTGCAGCCCCCTCTGGGCTTCTGCGCCGCCTCCCGGGCGCCCCCGTCTTCCGCACACCGGGCCTCACGATCCCTCCACGACCTGGGCCATCCCGACGCCTCGACTCCTCCCAGACCGCAGGACCGCAGGGGGACAGTCGCACAGCGCCCGCTCCCCTCCTCCCCCCTCGAGGTTCGAGCTGCGGGAATGTTGTTGATCCGAAGAGCTGTGGCCTTCGTACCCTCCACCACTCCCAGTCTTCGGTTGGCGGGGTGGAGGGAGTGTAAACGTGGGAAGAACAGCACCCAAAAGGGGGGGCGGGGGAGGGGCGACCCCTGATGAGAGGGAAGCATCGGAGCGGGCGACAGCAGGAGGAGCAACAGGAGGGCGAGAGAGAGGGGAGGAGTCCCTCATCCCCCTCCTATTATTCCTCCCCCTCCTCCTGCTCTTTCGCCCTCGCCTTCTTCCTAAGGGAATGCCAGCGATGTGAGACGCCTCGTCCATGTCACGGCCGTCAGTTTGCTCAGCCTGATCAGTTGGAGAGGCCTGTACACTCCGGTGACTCACCCTGGACACGGCGGACTCTGGTGGGGTTGCGTGCGTCGGAAAGCAATAAAAACAAGTAGCTTGGCGAAGGTCCCAAGCATATGCAGTTGTGAGTACCGCAGTTGTGGGTATCGTCTTCGGAGGAGCTCCGTATGGGCCACGAAACTCTGTATCGGGCGGGGGTGACGCATACGAACTTTGCCACTGGAGCCTTCGGTGGAGCTCACGGTGGGCCACGACACGCTGCACTGGGTGAGGGGGACGTATGCGGGAGGTAGCGCTGGGACTTTCGGTGAAGCTCCATATGGGGCCACGAAGCGTGCGAACTTGTCACTTGTGTGTGCGAACTTTGTCACCGGGGCTTTCGGTGGAGCCCCCTATGGGCCACGCAACGCTGCACTGGGTGGGGGAAACGCATGTGGACTTTGCCACTGGGGCCTTCGGTGGAGCTCCATACGGGCCACGAAACGCTGCAATGGGTAGGGATATGAGGATCCTTGAAACTGTCGCAAGCTCTGAAGACGACTGTGCGCGGCGCAAGGCGCGAGCCACATCTTGAAAAGGAGCCGCCCTCCATCCGTGAAGTTCTTGCAATGTTTAAGACGAATGTGCGCGACGCGATGGCGAGAGTCACATGTTGAAAACGGACCGCCCTCCATCCATGAAATTCTTGCATACTTAAAAAAATCGGATGTCCGCGGCGCGAAGGCGAAAGCCACATTTTGTAAAAGTGCCGCCCTCCATCCGCGAAAATCTCGCAATAGCTTCAGGGTCATCAGTCGTGAGGAAGTCTCAGGCGAAACGCCCTGCCCGCCCCTTCGACCTGACCGGCCTCGGAGTGCTCTTCAGTGAGAACGGATGGAGGAAGGGTGCGTGAGGAAGAGGAGGGAAGGGAGTGCGGGGACGAGGAGGAGGAGGAGAAGGAGGAGGAGGAGGAAGAGAAGACCCTTGGCGCCACGCTCGAGCAGACGCCCGTCTCCTCAGACAGGCTGGCTCGCACGCACCACCCAGGGCGGCCGCAGAGCGGCAGAGGAAGAGAAAGAGAGACAGCCGTCCGCGCGTGAACGAACCTGCAGTGAACGAAGCAGGGCGGATCTTGCTCGGACGACGGCGACGACGACGACGAAGACGGCGGCAGCGGCGGCGACGACAACGACGAAGACGACGACGACGACGACGACGACGACGACGACGACGACGACGGCGACGTCGACGGCGACGTCGACGGCGACGTCGACGGCCAGAGGTCGGAAGTGGGCCCTCGCCTGCGACGTCGCAGCGTCCGCGCGGCGTTGGCCCTGCCGTCCGTGTTTTGGCCCAGCCACCCCCTGCGTTGGAGCCAGCTCTTGACGCTGCGCGGACTTAATGCGACAGAATCGTGGGCCACTTGAGAGCGCACTCGTGAGCAGAGCATGGCTTCACCGATGCTCCACTGCGTGACACGCTGCTTCACACTCTGGCGCCACGCCGCCCGCCTGCAGCGCCCTCGATGGCGTGCCCCTGCAGCCTCTGTCTCGTGCCTGTCATGCCGTCCCCGCGCACGCCCGCTCCGCCCATCTCCGAGCACTCCTCTCCTTGGCATCGCTCGGACGTGTGCATTTTCTCTCGGCGAGAACCCTCGAGGACCATCCTGGACCCTCGAGCAACAAAAAACACGCACGAAACCAAAAAAAATGCACGGGAAATGGACGTCCGAGCGGCGGCAAGTCTCCGTGCCGCCACACCGCCCAGCGGTGGCCCCGCCGTGCGCTGCCGCCAGAGGCGGCGGACCCCCCGGCGCGGGCCGCCACCCGCCGAGCCCCGGCGCCCCGGCGCCCCGGCAGCGGGGGCCGCCACCCGCGGCGCCCCGGCGCAGCGGCCCCCGCCCGCACACGGGCGACGCCAACCGAAGGAGAGAGAGCTGCACATCAGAGCGTGAATTACCTACCCCGCTTTCGCTCCCAGGCAAAACCAAATCATACCACGCGCCTCCTCGTCAAGCGGCCTGACCAGTACAGGCCGTAGTTTGGTATCGCTTGGTATCTCTTGGAAGCGAGGGTGGTCAAAAGCGAGGTAGGTTTGTTTTCCCCCTAGCACAGACAGGCGCTGTCGACAGTCCGCGCGGATGTCTCGGCTCGGCGCCGGGCCCCCCTGGCGCGCGGGGGCAGGGGGGGTCCGTCGCAGATCCAAGAGGGCCGCACGGACCTCCGAGAGTTTTTGGGTGTGCAGTTGTTTGTTCCTCCTGGGCGCCCGCCGCGGCGCGCCGCGTTGCCCGCTGGCGGCAGCGGCGGCGACGAGCAGCGAGCCGTCGTGAGCACTGCGCGGCGGGCTTCGGCCTGGAGATGGCTGGGGGTGACGGGGACGCTTGGAGAAGTCTGGATGGGTCTGTGGGAAGCCTGGGAAAGGCCTGGGAGAGGCTGGCTGGTGAGGCCCAGGGATACCTGGGGAAACAGCTGGATTCTCTGGAGGATCCGGCCGCACAGTGATTGTCAGCACTCACGACGCGCAGGGGACGAGGGCGAGGATGTGAGGCGAGGATGCGAGTCGAGTTGGTGAGCAGGGCGGGATGTCCAGTGGTGACTGGGCCCCTCCTGGCGCCCGTGGGCAGCCAACCGACCTCACTCACCCGGCAGAGCTCGGAGCTCTGCTGCTCAGGGTCGCAGCAGGCGTCCGCGCATCTTGTTACAATTCCCTCGCCCTCCCTCCTTGCTCCTCTCCCTCCCTCCCTCCTCCCTCCATCCCTCCCTCCCGCGTTCCTTCCCCCCCTCTTTCCCTCCCTCCCTCCCTCTTCCCCTCCCTCCCTCTCCCTCCCTTCATCTCTTCTCGTCCTCGCACTCGGTCGCTCTCTCCTCCCTTGGCCAGCGGCGCCGGCGGCGACGAGCGGCGCACGGAGGCTCTGGGGGCCTCGTGGGGCCCAGAGTCGGCTCCAGATTTCGGAAGCCTCGATCCTCAGTCAACAATCCCCCCCTCGACGGCGACGACGACGACGACGACGGCGGCGACGACGACGACGACAACGACGATGGCGGCGGCGGCGGCGGCGGCGGCCGAGGCGGAGGCGGAGGCGGCGGGGACAGCGGCGGCGACAACGACCACGACCATTATCACGATAATGACCACCACGACGACGACGACGACGACGACGACGACGACGAAGACGACGACGACGGAGGTGGCGACGACGGTGGCGACGAAGACGACGGTGGCGATGCGCCCTCAGCTCGCCGTAGTCGTTCGGCGCAAGGGCGCCGCTCGCGTTTCGCGCGCGCGAGGGGTGCAGGCCTGGCCGCTCGGCTGGCGGGCGCCAGCGGGGCCATGATGTCTGGAGGCATGCCGCAGGGCATGATGTCAGGCCGGGCGCGGGGAGGGGGGGGTTATCGCAGAAGGGAATCAGATCCCGAGCAGAGCAACACGCACCACGACCACGACGCCGGCAACGACGACGGAGGTTAAGCAGCACATCGTTGAGCGGCATTTCAGCCTCCCTTCAGCACAGGCCCCCCCCCCACAGCATCAGGCCGCGCAAGCAGGAGAAGAAGGAGGAGGAGGAGGAGTTGAACCCAGATCTCCGACGATACGATGTTGTGCAATGTTGGCGTTGTTCCTCGATGTCGGCCTCTGGGCCCGTCATCGGGCCCAACCGCTGTCTCCGTCAAAGGGGTAGGGATCTCCCAGGCCGTGCTTTGAAAACAACACACCTGCGGATGTCTGGGTGGGAGGGTTGGGGCGATCGACGTGGGTACGAAAAGAGCTGGAAACACATGTGTTCACGTATCCAGGCCACCCAGGGGGATATCTAGCATGGTGGTCCCGAGCTGGAACCACGCGTCATGTAAATGCCACCCAGAGAGGTATCGAATATGGTGGTCCCGAGCTGGAACCACGTGTTCTCACGCGCCCGAGCCACCCGAAGAGGTATCCAACATGGTTGTCCCTAGCTTGGCCCACGTGTCTTCACGCGTCCAGGCCACCCACAGGGATATCTAGCATAGTGTCCCGAGCTGCAACTCTTAGTTTTCACCTGTCCAGGACACCCAGCGGGATATCTAACATGGTGTTCCCGAGCTGGAACCACATGTCTTCACGTGTCCAGGCCACCCAGGGGGATATCTGACATGGTGGCCCCGAGCAGGAACCACGTGTCTGCACATGTCGATGCCACCACGCGAAGTATCTAGCATTCATGGTGGTATCTAACATGGTTGCCCCCAGCTTGGACCTTGTGCTTTCACAACCACGTGTTAGCTATCCGTCCCTGGGTGGCCTGGACGCTCGAAACACACACACACACACACACATGTGTGTGTGTGTTTCTAGCGCCCCAGAGCGGGACCAGCGTGAGAGCACATGGCCCTCCCCCCCTGGCACGTCCCCCGGCTCGTCCTCTGTCTCGTTCCTTGGCTTGTCCCCTGGCGCCTTCCCTGCTCGTTCCGTTGCGCTGCGCCGCGTCCCCTGACACGCCCCGTGGCGCAACCGTTGGTGCGCCCCCTGGCATATTCCGTGGCGCGGCCGTGCGCCCTGCGCCCCGTGCTGTCTCGTCCCGCTTCGGAATTGAGTCGCTTCTTGAGCTCGAGCTGATTGATCGGGGGAACGTAAGACTCGGGTAAGCCGGAACTCGGGTTTGCCGACGTTTTTTGACGAGCGCGTCCTGGATTTTGACGGTCCAGTTTTCGTGGGATTTTTGCAGTGGGAGCTCGCGTCAAATTTCAGATTGGGCCTCGTCATTTCATGATGGCCCCCGTCAGGCCAGGCCGAGTCCCCCGTACCCGAGTCTTACGTCTCCCCGAATTGAGCGTCCCACACGTTTCGATTGCAACCAGTTCTGGGCCAGCTATGCATTCAGGCAGCTCGAGCTTAAAATCCAGATCAGTCCGGTGAGGATTTGGATGCCAAGGGAGAGTTGATCCACAACACTGTAGCACAACGCAACTCATTGCGACATGGCACATCTCATTTCATCACGGCACAACACAGCAAAGTCCTCGGCACGGCACATTCAGATCGATATGTTCAGCATTGTCGTTGTTTGTCGCCCAATCAGGTGTCTCGGAAACGTAGCCACGCTCTCGTACGTCTAAATTCCTTTCCGGTTCATGGGCCGATCATGTTTTTTGATCAGACAGAGTGTACCCGGAGGTCTTGCGCCGAGTCGTGGGACCACGGGGGGGTCACAGAGGGGGGGAGTCGAGAGCCTCGAGACGGGGGTCCATGCAAACGAGGGTCAGCCACAGCGCTGGATCTTGCAGGATCCCGCAGAGTCAGGGCTGCACTGGCCCGGGCTCGGGTGCAGGACCTTGCAGGATCCTGCAGGGCCGGATTGACGAGGGTTGGTGGTCTCCAAACCAGGTGGTGAGACACCCGGTGATGACCCCGATTCCCCCAAAAAATAATTCTGGGTCACCACCGGGTTTGGGGACACGCGGTCGCCACGAGGTTTTGCGTTTCCTGGGCCAGCCAGCGCTCGAAAACCACGACCCAAATCGCCCAAAACTCACCACCGGGTGTTCTCACCACCACGTTTGGGGACCACCAAGAGGGTCTAGATGGACCCGGGTCAGGAGATCCCCGGCCCTTTCCCCGGGGCCCGTTTTTCGTCCTGAGTCGTTTTTTGACGGTCCCGAGGCCCGGCGAGGGCCCCCCGAGGCCGAAAATATGCAAAAACCTCCCGTCCTGATTTCTTTACCACGCGATCATGTCTGGGGACGGGCCCGGGTCGGGAGATCCCCGCGGGAGGAGCACGGAAGGGGGCCGCCGAGGGGAGAGCAGCGAGGGGGCCACGGAGGGCGGGGGGCTTCACGGCGGGAGGCCGCCGAGGGGGGGCAGCGAGGAGGGGGCCACGGAGGGGTGTCACCGAGGGGGGGTCGTCGTCGTCGTCGACGTCGTCGACGTCGTCCGTCAACCGTCGTCCGTCGTCCGTCGTCGTCCATCCGTTCGTTCGTTCGTCCGTCCGTCCGTCCGTCCGTCCGTCCGTCCGTCCGTCCGTCCGTCGTCGTCGTCGTCGTCGTCGTCGTCGTCGTCCAGATCCTCGTTGTGTTGGATTGGTGCTGTCGACTGCGCGCCGGGCGCATCCCAGCGCGGGCCACACCCTCGATCCCGATTCGCGAGGGGCGGGCTCGCCCGAGCGCTGGCCACACCACCGTGTCGGATTGGTGCCGTCGCCGGCGCGCTGGCCACATCCCTCACTGAGGAGTGGTGCTGCCGCCTTAGCGCCGGCCAGCTCCCTCATTGGGTACTCCAGATTTCGTAATAAAAGGGAGGGGGTCTGGATCCTCCAAGACAAGCCATTTCAGACCCCCCCCCCCCGTGGGAGAACCCTCCAGAACATCGTCCCCAGACCCCCCCCAGGCCCTCCAAGATAGCCTGGAAGAGACCCCCCCCCCGAAATGAGACCCCCCTCCCTTTATTACGAAATCTGGAGTATGGTGTTGCCGCTCGAGCGCCAGCCATCCCTGATTGGGAAGGTTGCTCTTGCCCGAGCGCTGGGCACATCCTTGACTGGGGATGGTGCTGTGGCTCAAACGTTGGCCACAGAGGCGGGCTCGTGGTCGCACTTCTCTCGGCGAAGCGCTGCTCTGCACAACTCGACTTGTGCGCGTCTTGTGCACGAACACTCATCGCTCGACCACTGTCTGTGAAGCTCAGAATGTGCGCCTCGTTGTTTGGAAACTCCTCTCAAAAATCTCCCACAGCGACCAAACAAATGCTGTCCATTGCTCCCTTCCAGTAGGAACGTCAGATAAGACACCAGCCTGACAGCAAGTGCCCGACGGAAGTGTCTGATTACCTGGTGGCCCCACGGACCCACGCAAGCTTTTGGGCGCCTCAGGGCCTTCAGAGTTCGACGAAGTGTGTGCCCAACTATTCCCGATAGCAAGCTTTCCTACGGTAGGGGGAAACAATCAGTGGACACTCCCCCGCTCCCTCAAACTCAATGTTGGCACGCGCGGAGGAGACTGCGGTCGAAGTGCAATTCATCAGAAGCACCGCCAACTTTGAACATTAAGGGAAGGGGGAGGCGTTGACCGATGAATGTGGCATGCGTGTTCGCTATGTTTTCCCGAGGCTTGTATGTGATGTGTCTACTATAAGGCGATCCGCACGTTGACGACATCCTGCACATCTGTTAATTCCTCTTGTGATCGCAGCTTGCTGCCCGCAGGCTGGGGGCAGCAGCAGATGCAGCAGGCTGGTGCTGCCTCCGCTCCTCTCTCCCTTGACAGGGAGGTGGAGGAGGAAGAGGAGGAGGGAGGAGGAGGAGGAGGAGGAGAAAGGATGAGGAGGAGGAGGAGGAGGAAGAGAAGAATAGCTAGGACTAAGAGACGGAAGTTGCGGACGAGGACGATACTATTAGTAACAACAGCATATCATAAGATTAGTAACGTTGGTAAATAGTACTAAGACTACTAGGCGCGATACGGTGATGGTACCGAAGAGTAACGAGGAGGAGACCAGGGAGGGTGGAGGGAGGGAGAGAGGCCGGAAGGGTCAGGAGGATGAGGGTGGGAGCGTCGGCTTCTCCGGAGATCGACCTCCACGGATCTCTTGCAGAATCTTGGCCGAAGGCAGCGTGGTGCGGCTCAGCATGGCTAAAGGAGATCTGGTTCTGCGGCGCGCTACCTATTCCGTCCTCCCTTCTCCCTCCTTCCTGTCCTCCTCTTGGACGTCCGATCATGTCCAGCTTTCGCGCCGAAGACTGTTCGAAGACCGAAGACAGGCCGCCAGGGGCCGATGGGTCACGTACGTAGCAATTCCTTCTCCCTCTACACTTCCCACCTCTTCTTTGACTCGCTCCTTCGATAGGCTCGCCGCGCCGCTAAGCCGTGGACGGGAATTTAGTATCTTCGGTGCTCCCCAGTGATAAGATAACGCTCCGTGCAGGGCGGGGGCGATACCCTGGGGTGGACCATCCCTTAGGGCGGCCGACGAAAATCTATTTCTCTCTGGGGTGTGTAATGGGAATCGTATAGGACACGGGCGGTGAGGAGAAAGAGGAGAGGCGATAATGGCGGTCGAAGGGAGAGGCGATGATTACGGTCGAAGGAAGGAGGGAGGAGTACTTGCGGTCGAAGGGGGGAACCATCATTTATTTGTTGCGGTTTTGCGTGGTGCTAAAAATATCGCTCCACTCCGCTGAATTCGCCCACACGGATTATGAACCGCGTGTCGGTGCTAACTAAAACACAGGGGGGGTTCTTAAGTGCTGACCTGGGTTATCTTTGGGTCCTGGGGCACTCAATCTTTCGATGTTCGGTTGCTGTTGGTGTTACATGTCTTGTATGGCTTCGGAGGCGGCCGTTTCCTCTCTTTGGTGCCTTCGTCTGCGATCTGGCGTGCTTGCAGGAGGCCGTGCCCCTCAGGCGGGCGGGGGCTTGCGAGGTTCCCTCCGAGGCCTGGGGTCTGACCGGGGCTCCTGGCGGGAAGCCTCTGGGGCGGGGAGTCCCAGGAGGACCTTTTGAGGGCCACAGAGGCCTCCACGCGAGGAGGACGACGACGACGATGACGGCGAAGAGGAGGAGGACGAGGACGACGACGACGACGACGACGACGACGACGACGAGGACGACGACAACGACGAGGACGACGACAAGGCAGACGACGACGACGACGACGACGACGACGACGACGACGACGACGACGACGACGACGACGACGAGGGAGTCGACGACGAGGAGCACGACGAGGCGGAGGACGGCAAAGAGAAGCACGTTCGACGGCAAAGGCGCCGAGGGGAACGAAGAGGACTTGCGCGAGGACGACGACGACGACAACGAGGATGTCGGCGGGAGCGACGACGGCCACAGGGAAAAGATCTGGCGCACTTGCAAGGGCGCCAGCAGCGCTCTGGTGCGAGGGCGACGGGGGACTGGGTGCGAGGGCGAGGTGGACGAGGAGGGGTCTGTAACTACTGCCTGCCAAGACCTCCAACGCATGGAAGAATCAAGAAAAGACGGACGCCATTCGCTGTTCATGGCCTCCGGGGGCCCTCGCCTGGGCCCCGGAACTGTCGAAAACGGCTTTGGTTGGGCGCCGCGCAATGGGGGGTCATAAATGGGGGGGTGGCGAGGGTGGTTCGAAAAGGTACCCAAACGGTACCTGAACGAGCCCCCTGGGGCTCTGGAGGGGCCCGAAAGGGGGAACGAAAGGGGGCCTTTTCTGACCCCCCCATTTGTGACCCCCGCATTAAGCCATGCCCAATCTGGACGAAAGGCCGATCCTGGGCGAACTGGTCGGGGGGTCCCGGGGCCCCGCGAGGCCACGGGGCCCCGCAGGAGTCACGGCGGGAGGCTGTCGCATGGCCTCGGCTTCCCAGGGGGGCGGCGGGCCCCACCGTCAGAGAGGACATGCCCGGGAGGTGGCCGGCACGTCCAGGGACGGCGTGCTTCGGGGGCCCCCAACGGGGTGGTGACCACACCGTGTGGTGAGTCGGTGGGGATTCGGGGTCACCACGCGGTTTTGGGACTCGGGTCGTTCTCCGAGGATGTCTCGGGCGACTGGAGCCTCCAGGGTCCCAAAGCTGTGTGGTGACGGACCGTGCGGTGAGGTCTCTGGGGGTTCCGAGGGCACCGCACGGTCTGTCACCGCACGGTCTTGGGATCCCCAAGTGCTGCAGAAACCAGGGCAGCGGGTCTCTGGGTGTGCATGATTGCCTCCACGCAGGCGGGGGGGGGGAGGGGGGAGGGCTTCTCAGAAGCACCCCTGCTTCTTAGAAGGCGCGGGCCTTTTCTTATGGATGTAGGGTCGGCGCGCCTTCTGAGAAGCAGCCTGCTTCCAAGGAGCCCTGCCCCCTCCCTCCACCCCCCTGTGCGCACAGCCAGGTGCTGCAAAAGCCAAGGCAGCGGGTCTCTGGGTGTGCATGATTGCCTCCACGGAAGGGGGGGGGGAGGGCGCGAGGGTGCAAGAACGGGAGAGGGAGAGAGAGGGAGAGGGACGCGCCGGCGCCCAGATGGGCCAGCAGCGGTCGCCCCAGGCGCCGCCCCCGATCACCCTGGGCACGTCTTCTTTTCCTCATCCTCCTCGTCCTTCTCATTGCCTCTGTCCCCATTTTTCCCACTTGTCCGCCTTGCCCAGCCTTCTTCACCTTTTTAATATTTTCATTGCTGTTCTTTTTCTTGATATTACTATCGTTAGGCTCATTGTTTGCATTCTTATTCGTATTATTACGGTGTTCCTTCTCCTTAGTACGATTACTTGTATCATTGTTACTAGTATCAGCATTATCGGCTTCTTCTCGCGCACTCGTGCCCCTCCCCTCTTCCCCGCCCGCAGCCGGCTTGTGGCGCAAGGCTACCAGGCCAGCTGGCTGCGTGGTCCGATGCGCCAGCCCCCACCGCTGGCCACCGGGCCACCGCTGTGCCACTGCGGCCGCGTGCCCCGGTGCGCCGCCGCGGTGCCCCGAGGAGCTCCTCCTGCGCTCGCTCCCTGCGGCGCGCCCCCCTGGCGTGGCGGGCCCCGGCCTCCGCTCGGCGGGGCCCGTCTGCGCTCAGCGAGCGAAGAACGGTATAAAATAAACTTTTTCGCTGTCGGGGGCGCCTGTCCCTGGTCGGCTGGAAAGTTTATACCCCTACGGTGCCACCGTAAGGTATAAACTTTCCAGCCGCCCTGGGACAGGCGCCCCCGACAGCGGACAAAAATTATGTTATACCGTTCTTCGCCCGTTAATGCGCAGGCTCCTCGGGCGAAGGTCTGCGCGGGGCGTCGCCCACTTGGAGGACCTCGCGCGCGCCCTTGCCGCTGGGCGGGGAGCCGGCAGCGTCCGCGGCGTGGCGATATCGGCGCGGCGGCGGCGCATCGGCGGCCGCGCCGCGCTCCCGGGGCTTCGCCGCCCTTTGCTCGGTCTCGGCGGGGGGGGCCCTCCTCCTCCTCCTCCTCCTCCTCCTCCTCCTCCTTCTCCTCCTCCTCCTCCTCCAGGTCCTCCTCCTCCTCCTCCTCCTCCTCCTCCTCCTCCGCCAGAGGAGGGGGCTCGAGGCGGAGAGTGGAGCACGTGCATTGCCAGCGGCGGGCTGCTCGTCAAGCCCAGGACTTTTCGGGGGTCACACGGGCGCTGTCGGGGTGGCGCGGCGTGCACGCTGTGCTCCCCCCGCCTTCCCGGGGAGACGACGGAAAGTGCACGCGTCGAAGAGCAAACATCAGCATGAACATAAACTGTTGGCGGTCCGCGCGGATTTCTTGGATCTGCGCCAGGACCGCCCGGCGGCGGCTCCAGCGCCGCCCCTGGCGCGCTCCGCGCGCCAGGGAGGGGGGCCCAGCTCAGCTCCAGGAAGTCTGCGCGGACCGCCGCAGGATCCCGTATACACTAGGATCAATTTTCCTGTGCGAAGTTCAGCGCGGGGCCGGAAAAAGCGTCGGCGCAGAGAGTTCGGCTCCTTGTGGAATCGGCGCCACCCTGACGTGTTCAAATACTTTGTGTGCGTCGCCCCCAGAGGGGTTGACGCGCGCGCCGAGAATTCTTGCAGTGTGTGGTCGCTGGCGGATGCTTTGGATACGGGCCCGTTCGCGGCCAGTTTGTGGGGATGTCTCAGGCGGTTTGCTTGTTTTCATGCCCAACATCCTTGGCTTCCAGAGCAGATTTTGAGGATGTCTCAGGCGGGGCGCTGGTTTCAGCATCCCTAGAGAGAGCCGCCAAAGGGGTAGGACACGGGCCCGTTCGCGGCCATTCTGCGGGGATGTCTCAGGCGGTTTGCTCGTTTCCATGCTGCGAAGAAGGAGACGAGGCGTACTGCTCCCTTGGGTCGTGCTCCGGCACGTACCATCTGAGACGCACGGAGGAATGAGTCGAGGCGTGTTGCTCCCTTGGGTCGTACTCAGGCACGTACCCTCTGGGACGCACGGAGGAATGAGTCGAGGCGTGCTGCTCCCTTGGGTCGTGCTCCGGCACGTACCCTCTGGGACGCACGGAGGAATGAATCGAGGCGTGCTGCTCCTTTGGGTCGTGCTCCGGCACGTACCCTCTGGGACGCACGGAGGAAAGAATCGAGGCGTGTTGGTCCTTTGGGTCGTGCTCCGGCACGTACCCTCTGGGACGCACGGAGGAAGGAGTCGAGGCGTGCTGCTCCCTTGGGTCGTGTTCCAGCACGTGCCCTCTGGGACGCGCGGAGGAAGGAGATGAGGGGGGATGCGCGCTGCTCCCTTGGGTCGTGCTCCGGCACGTACCCTCTGGGACGAACGCACCCTTTAGCGCTGCTCTTTGGGTGCTTTGGACGCGGCGCCACGAGGAGTCTTAGCCTCTGACACACATCGAGCATGTTTATTCCGTCGAAACGTAGTCCGGTAGGAATCATCATTGACGCAGTCTTGGCTCGAAGCGGAGGTCGCCCATCGAACCCAGCATCTCTATACTCACTGAACGCAGTCTCACTTCTTCGGTCGGAAACGCCCATGCCTAGCACGGCGCCGCGGACGGGGGGAAGACAACGAGGTCTCCAAGGCGCTGGGCGCGGTTCCGCCGACATTCGACAGGTCTTCCTGCAAATTGCTCTAGGAACGGCGCCAGGGAGTGCAAATCAAGGCTCGACCACTGCGACGTCCTCGGGGGCAAGCGCTGCCGTTGTCAGCGCAGACGCGCGTTTTGCTCGGGCGTTCGACAGCCTTCTGGCATGGCTGGCTTCCGTGGGCGGAGCTTCGACTGTCGGAGCAAGTTGCGCAGATCTGGGCACCTTCGCAGCAACGGAGTTGGGCCTGTCGCCCACGGAGACAGAGGCGGCCGCATCTCAATTGCTGGATGGCGGCGCCGTTTACGAGACGATCGGTAGACATATCCAGGTGCTGGAAGGACACGGTTCTTATTCCAGCGCGGCTGCGAACGAAGGCGACGGCGCCCACGGGGCGCTGGGCGACGCGCGGGACATCGCGGAGTGGGCCGACCAAGAGTCCGACATGGCACAGCTGGCAGATATGAGGTCACACACGTAGTGATTCGCGTCGTGCCTCTGGCCTTTCGCCCCGATGCCAAGTGCAGAAGGCTTCTTTTTGCGTTGCCAGCTAGGCCCGATGCCAAGCGCGGGCGGCCAAAGCCGAGGCGCAAACCGCGAGGGTGCCATCTGTAGCACTTGCCTTTTGCACGTCATGCACCTGCGACTTCTGTTTGCGTTGCCAGCTGGGCCCGATGCGAAGTGCGGACGGTTAAAGCTGAGGTGCAGGTCGCGAGGTGCCGTTTGAAGCACTTGTCATTCGTACTCCCCCTGGTGTTTCGGACGCGGCGCCGACGAACTTCTTTGCCTTGACAAACAAATTCGCGGGCGTATGCATGTTAACGAATGCATGCGCGTGGTGGATGTGCAGCCGCGCTGCGCGCACGTGCGCTTGCCGCTCACATGGGCGCGCTCGCGGAGCAAACAACTGTCATGGACAAGTGCTCGCCGTGGCACTGTCCTACAACATGATTTGCGCATGTGGCCTTGTGTGGCTAAACGCTCGTTTTACAGATCCCACCGCCAACTATCCTAACGCAGATGCGCATTACCACAGGCTGATGAGGGCGCGGCCTGGCAGCTGAGGAGGGGGAGTGAGTGGGAGGCTCATGTTCAATCATACTCAAAGCTCACTCTGACTCATACTCACCCACTCGCATTGGGATTCACTCGTCTTCGTCGGCCCTGTCGCCCATGTGGGCGCGCTGTTATAATAAAGCGCTCATGAACAGACGCTCGCGATGGCATGACATAAAACATGCTATGCGCATACGGGGAGCTCCACGCAGTGAGTAATGTGGTTTCGAATAGTATAGCACATCGTTTCCCGAGCGCCGTGGCCACCCCCTGGCGGCTCTCCTGAGGGGTGCTGAAACCAGCGTCCCGCCTGAGACATCCTCACAATCTGCTCTGAAAGCAAAGGATGTTGGGCGTGAGAACTAGCAAACCGCCTGAGACGTCCCCACAAACTGGCCGCGAACGGGCCCGTGAAAACACAAACACCCCTGGCGTTTCCCCTTGAGAGCCTGAGTATGACTAGGTCTGAGTATGACTAGGTTTCAGTCCGCGCGTTGAGTAATTCAGACAACGAAAAGGTCAGAGCATGTGTAGGTATGAGTATGAGAAAGTCTGTGTATGAGCAGGTCAGTGAACGAGTCTGGGTATGAGGATGTTTGGGTACGAAGGAGCCCCAGCATGAGTAAGCCTGCGTATGAGTAGGCCTGCATGTTCTGTGTTGAATAGGTCAGACCATGAAAATGTATGAGTATGAGTATGTATGAGTATGAGTAAGTCTGTGTATGAGTAGGTGTGTTCTCTCTGGAGTCGGCGGCGCCAGAGTAATAACAACAACCCCATCTTAGGATATGGGGAAATAGCGGCATAAACATACACTGTTGGCGCTCCGCGCGGACTTCTTGGATCCACGCTGGGCCACCCCCCAGCTATCCTTCTCATTCTGCCTCCGAGTCCCCTGCTCCCCTCCGCCGAGTCCCCCTTGTTTTCTCCCCCCTCCCTCTCGCCCTCCGTCCCCCCTCATCTCCCCTCCCGCCTTCCCACCTCCCTTTGCCCCCCCCCCTTTTGCGTGCCCCACTCCCCCTCCTCCCCCCTTTACCTCTGCTTCGCCCCTCGTCCTCCCACTTCCCTAGCTCCCCGTCCGTCGTCCCCCTTTGTCCCCCCGTCTTCCCCGTTCCCCTCCGCATGCAGCGTCCATCTCGACTCGTCCCCGGCGTCCCTCCGCCGTTTTCCTCCTCGCTTTGTCCGCCGCCGCCTCCGCGCCATCGTACACCGCGGCGTCATCCTCGGCCCCGTTCTCGCCCACCGCCGCCTCATCGGCATGCTGGCCTTCAGCGGAGAGAGAGAGAGAGAGAAGCAAGATGGGGAAGACGTGGAAAGGGAGAGGGGGAAGAGTGTGGAGGAGGTGAAGTAGAAAAGGGAAGGGGAGGAATCGAAGGGGAGGGAGAAGCAGAAGCAGCAGCACAAGCAGCTGAGGCAGGTTGCCCGTTTCTGAGGCCCGCGGTGCCAGCGGTGGAGCACCTAGAGCGGCGCATAGCGTTCCCGCTGCTTCTGCTCATCCTCCACACACCTACGTCTCCTCATCCTCTCCTCATCATCCTTCTGCCCCTCGTTATCGGCACCCCTCGTCCTGATCCTCCCCTCTCTGATTATACACCCAGAATGTTCCTGCGCTTCCTCACCATTCCTCGTTTCTCATCCTCCGTCCTCTTGCTGTCCGTCCTCCACACCCCTTATCTTTCCTGGTATTCCTTTCTGCGTGGTCTCTCTTCCCCCACCCAGGCCTTCTTCCTCCTCCTCCTCCTCCTCCTCCTCCTCCTCCTCCCTCTCCTCCTTCTCCTCCAGCGTCGCGGGTATCTGGACCGTTTCAGTTATGGCCCCAGGCCCAGGATTCAAAGACGGCCAGCAGCTTCAAAAGTTATTGATTTGATATTGTCATTCGCCTCATTCCCATTCCAATTCCCTCCTCCGCCTCCTCAGTCACGCCTCCTCCGCTCTAGCTCCTTCTCCTCTGCTCCTTGTTCTGCTGCTGGCCCCTCCCTCCCTCTTCCTTCGCCCCACTCCTCCGACCCATTATTTCCAGACGCCGCTGTCTCCCCCCCTCCTCATCCCCCACCCCTTTAATTATACGCCTTTCTGTCGCACCCTCGCACGTATCGGTAGGTCAAGCTGGGCGGTGCATTTGGTATCCCCACACGGTTTACGATATTGAAGCTTGGAATGTGCAACAGGTTCGTGGATGGAGTGGGAGTCGGTTTTTAAGTGCCGTACTCGTTTCAGCGCCGCGAACGTTGGTCTTGAAAGGTCGCTTCGGCTACAAGGATGGAGCGGGGCCGCAGATAGTTGCGAACAGCCGCAGACGGCTGCGACAGGAGCCTTCCTTGCTCCTCCTCGTGCTTTCTGTTTCTCTCCTTCCCCCCTCTTGCACGTGCCTCAGGAGGGGAAAAAACACAGACACAATTAATCTTCGATTCCCACGAAAATATGGGAAAATATGGGAAGTGGGGGGAAGACAGAAACCCCGAAAATATGGGAAAATATGGGGTATCTTCTTATTTGTGTGTATTTATTTGTGTGTCCTGGGCCCCTTCAGTGCCCTGGGGCCAGGCGCGTCGCTCCACGGGTGGCCGGGCTCCCTACGCCTTCCCCCCCCCTGGCGCTCTCTCCCATGATGCGCGCAGTTTCCAGGGGCCACCCCTAAAACGACGCGAAGATCGGGACAAAATCGGATCGGGATAACTCGAAATCTCTGAGAATCGGCGGGTTTGGAGGATGTGTTGGGCGCCGCGGCCGCTCCAGAGCGTTCCGGAACGCTCCGAGAGCGCTCCGGAACGCTCTGGAGCGATTTATCCCGATCCTAGCCCTGTTTCACACCCGCACCACAGGCGCGGGCGCCCCGCCGTGCCCCACCCTGCATGACAGGACCCGGACCAGTTTTGTTCCGCACGCCCTACAGTGCCGTTTTTTGTTATACACGCTCCGCGTGCGGATCACGTATCAAAAATGCAGGGATGTAGTACTAAAAACAACGATGAGTTCATGCGTAAATTGATTCATACATTGAGCATGTACTTCAAATCCTACATGTTACAAAAATCCGATGTATCAAAAAATTGCCCTGTAACATGTTTCTTGCTCTGTCGTTGTTCCCCTCCTTCTTCTCCTCCTGCTCCTCCGCGCTGCCTGGACGCGGGGCTCAGTTGCTGGATCAAGCCCGGTTCTCGTGCGGGGCAGGTGGTCCGCGCGCCCTACGACCTTTTGAGTGTTTCACCTGGCCCTCAGTTCCCTTGCCTCCCGTCCCCCTGCCGCTGGGCGATGCTTGCCGGGGTCGCCTTCCTTCCAGCCTTGTTGCCTCCTCTCTCGCTCGCTCTCCTGCCTCTCTCCGCGCTGCTCTCTGCTTTCCCTCGCTCCTCCGTGCCGCCTGCTTCCCTACCCCTGCGTTCGCCGCTGCCGCCCACGCGTTGCGATGTGTGTATCACGTCTCGGCCTAAATGCAAGCTGCTCCGGGCAAGTGGGTCCAGCCGCAACTGGAAGACAGTTGAAGGTCAAGTCCAGCGGTCCACAACCCCGTCGGGGAAACATGGTTGGAGGCAGGGTCGTTTGCGAAATGAGGCTCTCGCCTCCGCGCCGCACGCGTTCGTTTTTTAAAGTTCGCAACACGTACCCATGATGCAGGGGGTCGCTTGCGAAATGGGGTTCTCACTTCGGCGCCGCGCATGCAGCGGTTACAAGGCTGGAAGGAAGGTCGTTTTCAATTTGGGGCAATCGCCTTAGCGCCGCGCGCATGATCACGGACAACTTGCGACAGTTACAATGATGACGGTAAGTTGTTTTCATGCTTGGGCTCTCGCTTTAGCGCCGCGCTCTCTCGTTTGAGCTGTTGCACTGGCTACAGGAACTGGGGACGGCTCAGCTCTCAAACAACGATCCCCGTTCGCCCTGCCGACTTTCCTCACTGGGGGGACTGGATTTCTCCGCTCGCCCGCCGATATTGTTTCTCGCTCGACCGAAACAAGCTCTCCTGTCACTGGTCGACCCCTCCGCGGGATGCGTCCCCCCCCGCGCGCGTGGATGCCGGCCTCGTGCGCCCCCAGCTTCCCGCTCTCTGCGCCCCGCGCCCAGGCGTATGGGGGCATGCCTGGAATGCAGGGCCAGTACCAGCAGCAGGCCAGTTGGCGGCGTGGGGCGGGCACAGGACCGGGGCGGATCGCTCCAGAGCGTGGAGAGCGTTCCAGGGCGCTCTGGGACGGCCGCGGCGCTCGATGCGGTCTCCAGGGCTGGATGATCTCCAGAGCAGCGACCTGTCCTGGACTGAGCTTGTCTTGATGTTTGCCTCGTCTTGCGGTGGGAACCCATGCCAAGAAGCACCCTGCATGCCTCCAGGGTGCGCTTGGTTTCTTGGATGTCGATGGCTTTGCTATGGAAAGCGTGACGTTCCCACACCAAGAAACAATGGAAGTCTTGGGGTCTCAGGGTTGGGTCTCTTGTGGAAGGTTTCTCGTGGTCGAGCTCCTACTGCACAGTGCAGCCAGGGCAGGTCGCTCGGAGCACGAGGGGGGAGGGAGGGAGCCTCTGCCTTCAGGCGCCGCGAAGAGATCACGGCCAGCGTGTTGGCTCAGAAGTCTGGTGTCGGGTTACCGGCGTCTGGCCCCATCGAAGCACAGCTCGAGGCAACAGAAGCCATGCCAGAGACGGCGTTAGAGTTTGAAAGTTCACGTCCAGAGGGGCCGCCGGTATGAAAAACATACCGTGGTTGAGAGTTATGAAGAACACGCGGGAATCAAACATAACAACACACAAGAACACGTGTGTAAGAAAAGGACATGGCTGGGACATCCACGGCCCGATACATATACATGTGGAGATGCGTTGGGGGTTATCATGCCTAATTGCGCCGAGGGGTTCTAAGTGGTTTAAAGGAGGATGAGGAGGAATAATACGAAGAACACATTAGAACAGAAAGGATAATAAGTACACAAGCGAGGAGGATGATGAGGAGTAGGAGATGAAGGAGGACGACAACGAAGGGCTCAGCTCCCCGCGAAGAGGGATGAGGAAGGGCGACAGCGGCACCGACGGCGTCCAGCTGTTTTGCCAACGAGGGGTGCCGGTTAATTGACCCCACCACCTGCACCGACGGCCGCACCGACGGCGGCACTCATTCGCGGCTGGCCGACAGCAGCAACGATGGCTACCTCGACGAGATGTCAACACAACAATTCGGGTCATCCCCCTCCTCTCTCCTTGCTCATCCTGCCCACCCTGTCCTCCCTCCTTCTCCCCCATCCTCCTTGCCCCGCCTCCCCTGCCTTCTCCTTTCCTCCTCCGTCCTCTTCTTCCTCCGAACCGTAGAGTCGAAACCGATAGTAAGGATGGTCGATCTCCCAAGGGTGCCCTTGCGCCCTGGCCTCTTCGGTCATGTTCCGCCCATCCTTGATTAGCCACTCTCGATGGCCAGCCCCGCTCGAAGAGCCTCGGCACGGGCGTCCAGGGCCCTCGCATCCTGGCTCTCGGTTCTGACTCTCTTCCCCCCCTCGCCCGCTCCTCTCTCGCTCCCGCTCCTTCTCGCTCTCTGGCTTCCCCCCTTCGCCCGTTTTCCCCCCCCTCCTCGCTCCTCTCCCGCTCCCGCGCGCAACGGGGCCTGCAGGCGCCGCCCGCGGCAGCCTCGCCGTACCAGCAGCAGCCGCCCGCGCAGCAGTACCAGCAGCAGCCGCCCCAGAGAGGCGCCCCGCGGGCCCGTGGCCCGGGCATCGGGGCTGCCGGTCGCCCCCTCCTTCTCCTCCTCCTCCTCCTCCTCCTCCTTCTCCTCCTCCTTCTCCTCCTCTAAGGAGGAGGAGGAGGAGGAGGAGGAGGAGGAGGAGGAGGAAAAGGAGGAGGAGGAGAAGGAGGAAGAGAAGGAGGAGAAAGAGGCCCCGCCTGGCACCAGGCACGGGACAGCTGGCAGTCGACTGCACGCAAGAGCGGCCCTTCGCCAGAGCGACCTCTGGTGCGGCTTCCACTGGGGGTCCCCCCGATCGCCGAAGGCGGAAGCGGCAGAAGTGTGTCCTGCGCGCTCGTGTGCTGAGCCCCCCGCGGCCCCCAAGGGAGCGGCGCACCACGGGGCACCCTTGCCCAGGGTCACTCCTGCGGAGAGTCGAAAGGATACAGGCGGCCCGGAATGGTAGGTCGACCCTGCCAGATCAAGGGTACCCTCGTGTCTGGTGCCTTGCGACCCATGCCTCCTGCATTTCTGTGGCAACGTGACCTTCGGAAGGGTCTTGTGCCCTCTCGCGTGTCCTCTCCAATCAAGTCCGACTGCAGCTCTGGCCCTGGCGGGGCAGCTGTTGTCATCTGTTCTTTGCCGTGGCGCTCTCCGCCTCGGGGTGCCCTGCGTCGTGGGGCATCTCCACGGGGCCCCCGGGCCCGCGGCGGAGGGGCTCGTGCCTTCGGCCGGCGCTCGTGCGGCCAAGCTTCTGCCGGCACATGCGATGAGAGAGCCATGCTATGAGACATCCAGGGGCACGTGCACCGTCCACCTTCAACCCTCTGGGGGCGCCCTGAGATCCGGGGGTGGACAGACCCCCCCTGAGATTCGGGGGTGGACAGACCGCCCACCCTGACACGTCGATGAGTGGATTGGCCGTTTTTGGTGCGCGAGAGGGCGTCGCGGCCGTCATTTTTGCGGGTCCAGGTCCGTCGGTTTCGGTCCTAGGCCGTTTTCACTGAAGGGTGGTCTACTAAAGGGAGGTTTGTCCACCGCCGAGAGATGTCCGTGGGTCCCTCAGGAGGCCTCCGGGGGCCTCCAGGGGCCCCCTGGCGACCCCCGGGGCCCCGAGGACGTCCTGGGACTTCAGACACCTCACCTCCTGGAGACCTGCCCCTTCTGGGCAAGGGTCTGCGGACTGGCAGGCGCGCTGTCGCGGCTGCCAAATTCACACACGCACACACGCACACACGCACACACTCGCACGCACGCACACAGGTTTGGGCGTCGCGGCCTTACGCGCGGCGACAGGACGGATAAGTTCGTAAAGCAGCAAACGAGCGCGCGAGACTTGCAACGCCCGAGCTCTCAGAGACCGCTGAGGGTCCCGCAGCAGCCGGCCGCCATAAGTCATCCGAGCGTGGATGACAGGGGGAAGCGGTGAAAGGACGATGCTACGGTGCATAAAAACACATGCACACCCAAACACACACACACACACACACACACACACACGCGCGCGCGCACACACGCACGCACGCACGCACGCACACACAAACACACACACACACACACACACGTACACACGCACACACACACACACACACACAACACACACAAACACACACGCACACACAAATACACACGCACACGTACGCACACACACACACACACACGTACACACACACACACACACACACACACACACACACACACACACGCGCGCGCTACTGTCCAGAAATTGTTCATCGCAGATGGGGAACGCGGAGCAGTCACGAAACGCGTGGACGGCGTTGCGGAAGCGCTGCAGAGGCGTTAGTTGCCCGCAGATCGAGCTGAACCCCTCGTCGCAGGGGGCGTTTCTTGCCTTCGTCCGTTCGCGGGCAGCAAACCTCCATGCAGTCGCCGATCCGCCCGCGCACACGAGTTTTATTGTTTTTTTTCTGCTGGTCACTGCGCGAGGAGCTGGGGCTGGTTCCCACCGAAGCGTCCGCCAGGTAATGTGAAGCGGTGGTGGGATGAATGAGAATGCAGCACCAGGGGGAGGAGGATGGGCAGAACATGAAAAGAATGTAATTAGGAGGGGAAGGAGGGGGGGATAGGGTTATTGAGGAGGAAGAAGGAGCAATGGGAGGAGCGATTGATGAGCAGGTGGAGGGATGAGAAAGGATGAGAAAGAATGAGGAGGAGGACAAGAGGATTGGAGGAGGGCGAGGAGCAAAATGAGATTGCACGATTAGGGTGGATGAAGAGGGGGAGAGACGAGGGAGGAAGGAGGGGCAGAGGTGGCGGAGGAGATGGGAGGATGGAGGCTGAGGCAAGACGAAGGGGGTGGGGAAAGAGAGAGAGAGAGAGGAGGCTGTAGGAGGAGGTTTGAGGAGAAAGAGTCCAAAAGAGGACTGAGCAGGAGAACGAGGAGGGCCGAGGATGAAGGGCCCGACAGCCCCGAGCGAGAGGAGCAAATGCCAAAGATTGCCCGTTGAGCAGTATTGTCCCGTGTTAAGGTTCTTTCCTCATTTTCCCCTTTCTGCTCTATCCCACGCTGGATCTTCCTGATATTCCTCCTCCTCCTCCCATCTCACCCCACTCCTACCTCCACCTCCTCATCATCATCACCACCATCCTTATCATCGTACCTCATGTTCAGCTTGCTGCTTCTCATCCTCCGCCTCCTCATCGTGCTCCGCTTCATCCCTCTCGTCGTGTTTCTCTTTCGCGCGTTGGCTGCTCCTCCCCCTTCTCGTGCTCATGACGTGCCTCATGCCCCTCCTCCAACTCCCCGTGCCTCTCGTCGTCTTCATCCGTATCCTCATCATCCCGTTCGTCCTTCCCCCCCTGGGCGCTCCCGCCACCGCCTTCCTTTTTCATCCTCCCCTGCCTCGTCTTGCTTATCCTCCCCCTCCCACTCCTGGACATCCTCGTCCTCCTCCTCCTCCTCCTGTTCCTCCTCCTCCTCCCCCTCCTCCTCCTCCTCCTCCTCCTCCTCTTCCTCCTCCTCCTGGCAAAGGCGGGGAAAGAGCAGCTACCGTGGCGCCGAGGGCGCGGGAAACACGGCGAGGAGTGGCAGGTGGCTGCTCTCAACTTCAATGCCTTCAGCAACTTCGACAAGTGCATGGAGGTGAAGGACTTGCAGCGCTGCGACGCGGTGTTATTCCAGGAGACCAGGCTGACGACTGGCAGGAGCAGCGACGCGGAGGCCCAGGTGCGAGCAGCAGGTTGGAGAGGACGGTGCACAGCAGCCATCGCTTCCGAGGCTGGAGGGATTGGCACTGGAGGGCAGCTGATGATGGTCAAGGAGATGCATGGCTTGGCGGCGCTGAGGGTGAAGCAACCCGCAGTGGTGGTGCCAGGCAGGATGCGCGTGGCGTGCTACCCGGGTGTGTGCAACGGCGGCGTCCTGCTCATCAATGCGTACCTGGAGGATGGCGCTGGGCTGAACCAGACCAATAGGAAGGCGTTGCTCGATCTAGCGATATGTCTCAAGCAGTTCAGGAGGCCGTACATCGTAGGTGGCGACTTCAACGTGGAGTACGACGAGTTGGTGCAGAGTGGCCTCCTGCAGTACTTCGACGCGGAGGTCGTGTGGCCAGCGGTGGCGACGTGCGCCGCCTCGGGCAGTATCATCGACTTCTTCCTGGTCTCGCGCGAGATGCAGGTAGTCAGCGTGCAGGTGGTGCCTGGCTCGCCCGTTCCCCCAGTCGCTCGTCATCCTGAAGGTCAAGGCTCTTGGAGTACGGCCGTGGGTACAGATCGCGCAGGCGCCCAGGCTCTTCCCCATTGTGAGGCCGTCGGGCTGCTGCAGGTCTGACCAGGATGCCAAGTGGGTCGAAGTCGGGCAGTCGGTGCAGCGAATGCTTGATGGAGTGCAAGGAGATGCAGCAGGAGACGAGAGCATGGGTGGTCAGCCCACGGCGTTGACGGTGGCCCGGCGCAGGTTCCTCGCGGCAGCGGGGCAAGACTGGCACATCGTCACGTTTGGGTGCGCAGGTTCCTCGCGGCAGCGGGGCTCAGACGTGACGATGTGCATTTCCTCGCGACAGCGAGGAAATGCACATCGTCACGTCTGGCGATCTGAACGCGCAGTCACCAAGTGGGTGCTCAGACGTCAAAGGGGCGCGGTCGGCAAGGGTCACGGCTGAGGCGGCATGGTTGGCCAGGGCGGCCAACTGTTTGAGTGCGGCGGCGCAGGGCCAGGGGCCCAAGGAGAGGGCGGCGGCGCTGAAGAGCCTACCCCGTCTGGCGCGGGGCGCGCCGCGGCGGCTGCAGACCATGGCTGACCAGGGGCAGGCCTCCCGCGCCTACCGCGCCGTGGGCTTGATTGGGACCGCGCGGAGGTGGTGGGAGATAGTGCAGGACGAATAAGTTAGCCGCGCGCCCGCCGAGGCGTTGCGCTGGATAGCTGAGCAGGCACATGCTGATGCTCAAACCTTGGCGGGGCGGGACCTCGACGACAGAGGGCGGCAGTTCGACGAGTGGGCCCAGCACGTTGCAGTTGCGAGGAGGAGCAGGAGGGCTGCACGCCATCACGCGGGCGCCCATCGGATGGCAGGACAGCCCGGCCGACCAGCTGCAGGCGTGGGGCGCACCAGCCAGCCAGGAGATAGAGGCACGCCAGTTGGAAGACGAGTGGTGGAGGCTTTGGAGGGTCGAGCGCGAACAGGTCAGCGCGCGCTGGCCCAAGGACCCGGGCGAGCGCCCCCCCCCCAAGGCCCCAGTGGATGAGCTGAGGAAGTTCACGAGGACCATCCGGCGCAGGCGCGAGCAGGTCAGCGCGCGCTGGCCCAAGGACCCGGGCGAGCGCCCCCCCCCCCTCCTCCCCCAGGCCCCCGGCGGATGAGCTGAGGAAGTGCATGAGGACCTTTCGGCGCAGCACAGCAGCCCCCTTCGATGGCGTTCGCCCATGGCAGCTGCTGGAGCTGTGCGATGGGGCGCCGGGGGCGCTGACCGACATCCTGATGGAGGTGGAACGAGCAGCGGGGTGGCCCAGCCCCACCACCAAAGCGTGCTTCCTCGCGAAGCGGCTGGGGGGGGGGCACGGCC